TTTACAAAAGTTTAACAAAGTTCAAAACGAAGCATTTGCGGACCAATGTTTATATGAACTTTTTGTCTTAAAATCACTCAAATGATCGTCTGTTGAATTTATTGTACATACTTAATTAACACCCTGTATATCATGCCTTCACAGAAGTGAATATTAATGAATAGAATCTGATCGAATCCTGCGACAGTCAATTGCGTTTTCTCAAAAATGGCAGCAATAACAAAACTATTTTTTGTAAATTTTACATTATAATGTACGATATCGTAAAAAACTACATATCCTTAAAAAAGTTGTCAGAAAATGTCACTGGAAGAGTTTGTAGCTAAGTAGATGGTCAAAAACAAACACTGGCATATTTAGTACCCCCAAAAACTTACCTGTATCTCATCTCATAAACAAAAGATAATAGACATACAGAAAAAAATCAACTTATTTTCATGTTCAACCAGTCACTGAATTTATGGTATCATTTCCTCTTTTCTCGCTCGAATTCATGCATCTCTAGTAAACACAGATTAACAGAAATCTGGAAGTGTTAGCCCATACACAGGTTGTAACTTCAAGTGGGGATCAGTTTTTTAGGAGTAATAGTGCGTGTTCCCCTGAATACGAATCTGAAGTTCTTTTTTTTTAATCAAATAAGTAGTCGAGTTATAAATAATTTTTTAATTCTTGTGTGCCCCACCACTGTAATATTAATGTATTACAAATACATGACTTGTAGGCAACCTACAGTGCATGTGAAGGGAGATGACGAAGTGAATGAAGGTTGTCAGTTGTCCTGCATTTGGAGACGGTACACCTAAGTGTTAATTTGAATGTTTTTCATCGCTGGAAGCCATCTAGAGACTATTGTGTAATTTATTTATCATTATTGATTACTGCTTGTTTTTTTGCTACGTTACTTGTTAAGTATTGTTTGTGTGGCAAACACCCACTCAACAAGTCATTTACGGCGATTGGTGTGGAATTGTGCATGCACTAAAACAAGCCATTATTTGAGATTACCTTCTCCAGCAGTTGGGTACAAAAACTACTAAAAAAACGTTTAAAAAAAAATTAAGTTTCTAGGATAGAATTTGAAAAAATAAACTAGGTATATGTTTTTCTAAAGGTCAAAGGAAGCCTCTGTATAAATATGAACCGCACTCAAAGTTACACCCTGCATATGTACCACTTTTAATATTAAGTATATAAAAATGATTTTTTTTTATTTTTTTTAATTTGCATAGGTCAGGGGTGGAGCAAAGGAATTTTTACTCAGTGATATTAAGAATTAAAAAATGCTTTTAATCTACAGGCTGTTACAAATTCGATTCTCATTACATGGATTTCGGAAACGGTAAGAGATATGAAGTAGTTTAAATGGGGGCAAAGAAGCATAATCAGTGGACCATCATTATGCCTATAGAAAATCAAGGCTAACATGATTAGCTATCGAAATATTTGAAAAAAAAAAGAAATTTTGTAAATCCGTTTTTGTTTCATTTCAGCCTTGTTTGAGGTGATATTGAGAAAAGAATAACACTTTCTCGTGGCAACTTTTTGCCCTCTATCGAATGGTATAATTAATTTTTATATGTAACGTTTTGTCTCTTCAGGACCATCATCTACTTAATTTTTTTAAATATGACCCTGGAAATTTTATTACATTTCTTGCAAGCCTTCATGACCCCCAATACTGTACTGCCTCAGCACGAACCAGATTCAGACGTTTTGTCTCGAAAAATTCATCTTCAATGTATTTGTTCCAAAATCTATTTTTTTTTAGATTTTTATGTTTCTTGAATTACCGTATATTCTAAGTGTCTTTAGACCTTCTGAAATACAACTAGTTATTTAAACTATTACCATCACACGTTACAATAAAACATTATTAGAGTTTTAATCCCGTGTTCATAATTATTTCTAGGTTTCTCGCGTGGTCAAAATTCATGCTCTTTCACAGTTGCGGTTGCAGGTATAAAAAATTCCGATCATATTACGCTTATCTTCATTTTCAACATTTGCCAAAACGGAAACGTTTTAGAGACAAAACGTCTGAATTTGGTTCGGGCTGAGGCAGTACAGAATTGGGGCTCATGAACGCTTTCAAAAAATGTAATAAAATTTCAAGTCGTATTTAGAAAAATGAAGTTGATGATGGTCCTGGAGAGAGGGAACGATATATATAAAAATTGATTATGCCATTCGATAGAGGACAAAAAGCTGCCATGAGAAAGTGTTCTTTTTTCAATATCACCTCAAATAAGGCTGAAATGAAACAAAATCGGATTTACAAAATTCGAGTTTTTTTTTCAAATATTTCGAAAATTCATGTTAGCCTTGATTTTGAGAGGCATAATGTTGGTCTCCTGATTACACAACTTTGCCCCCATTTAAGCTACTTCGTATCTCTTACTGTTTTCGAGATTCCTATAGTGAGAAGCGAATTCGTAATAGCCTGTATACAGGGTGTTTCAGGATTATATGGAAAAGTTTTAAATACGAATTGGGAATCAGAAAATAAAAAAAAAGTTCCTATGGACGTATGTCCGGAAACGATTCGTTAAGGAGTTATGGCCGTTTAAAAATGGCGGTCAAAATCGAGTTTTAAATTTTTTTCTCAAATTTGAAAACAGATTCAAATCCTGAATTTTGGTATAGATGTTATACTGATCGAGGCCCATCTAACCAATATTTTGGAACGGATGAAATCAACAACACCCTGTATATTTTTCATGAAAACATTTGACTCGTTAGGATTTCAATTGTTGCAATACATCTTTTGGAGAGGCAGATTAATTTAGAAACCTTTTCATCTCTTTCATCTTTATCATGAAATAAGTAGTTTTTGAGTAAAAAATAAAATAAAATTTTTGTTTGTATTTTAATGAGTAATCTAATTAGGTGCCCTGTCTAAATAATGAAAATGTAAGACGTAACATGAAATACATAAGTTCAATTTATTATAATTCTTTATTACAATCAGGTAGTAGGTCTCAGTAGATATAAAAAAGATACCTGCTGACGATTAATTAATATTAGTGCAACAAGTAACTGAAACATTGATTTGACCGCCATTTTTAAACGGCCGTAACTCGTTAACGAATCGTTTCCGGACATAAGTCCTTATGAACTTTTTTTCTTATTTTCGGATTCCCAATTCGTATTTAAAATTTTTGCATATAGTCCTGAAACATCCTGTAGAGTAAAAATATAAAAATTTAAGCTACTATATTTTTTATTTTGTGTCCAGCCAGACGTAATTTTGTTTTTTCTTTCGACTCTGTCTTTTTATTTCTTACTTTACTGTTTATTTATTTTACCTATACATTTTTGAAATGTAGATATAGCAGTTTTATATTATCAAAATTTTACATTTGTTACTTATTTTGGCTTTTGAAAATCTCAGAAAGTTGTTTTCGTTCACATTTCCTTTTTTTTTGTGCAACTTTCTAGAACCTATATTTTTTATTCGTCTATATATTCTTATCTTTTCATCTTTCCTTCGATTAGAAAACAGTGTTATTTCGATACTTTTATTTCCATTTACTTTCTTTAATTGTGTGCAGTCATATGTTTAACTTCAGTTTTGATGCAACCGGAATATTTCACTGTACTTTTGAATTATAACACCTTTTTAGTTGTTTTCAGTTCAAAATATTTAAGCATTTATCGAGACAATAAATTTACTTGTTTTGATATTAGTTAGCAATTATTACACGCATAAACGTGACATTTCAGGCACGAACTTAAAAGTGAGTGTAAATGGGTAGTCCCGTTCCAACCCAAATATTACGATTTACAATTGCAACATACGTGAGAACGCTTTTGAGAGGTTCTACATAAACACTAGGATGGCCTACAAAAAACGATTTTTTTTTTTTCGTGTCTCCTGTGAAAATACGTTAGTTTATCGTGTTTTAAGAGCTCCCTCAGAAAATCTGCTTAAAAAAATTTTTTTAGAAGTCACTCAAGATTTTTAAAAATTTCCAAAATCAAAAATTGAATTTTTTAAATTTTTTTGTCGTTATTTTATCATTTTCTGGGTTGAAAAAAATTTCGATTCTGAAAATTTCAAATCGATATTTTAATTTCTAAAGATCACTCATAATTATTTTAACTTTAAAAGTAGTGTACCTAAAATGTTTTCGAGCGACCTCTATAAATAAATATAAATATAAACGAACTAATAATTTTTTATAGTTATATAGTTAGTTATAATAGAAATAAATCACGACACTTAAAAAATTTCTCGAGGCAAAATTTACTGCCGCACTTTGAGTATTAAATATTTATTTTTTAATTTTTTAAAATTTAAGTGCCGAGATTTACACTTTTGTTCGTCAAATTCAATAAAAAAAAAATTTGTTAAAATAATTATGACTGACCTTTAGAAATTAAAATATCGATTTGAAATATTCAGAATCGAGATTTTTTCCAAAGCACAAAATGAGAAAATAACGAGAAAAAATATTAAAACAAATTTTTTTGAGCTGATTTTTTGAGGGAGCTCTTAAAACATGATAAACTAACATTTTCACACGACACAAAAAAAAATATTCGTTTTTTTTTTGGGCCACCCTAATAAATAGGATATTGAAGTATGTAGTTTTCAGTTTCAATGCGCAATATTAGGTGAATATTAAGTGCATACATCATAGAAGGCTGCTATAAACCCCGACCACTCCAACGTGCTCCTCAAAACCGTTGTTATTTGCTCATAAACATAAGCTTCTACATTCAGTACTTGATTGAGAATTAAAAATGCGGAGTTTATGTGTCGTAACAGAAATTAGAACGTGCCACTCTCCAACGTGCATGTCAGACTTTCATTTACGCGTTTCAATGCCTGGTTAAAAATACATGTGTATGGCCGGCTATTAATTTCAGTTATGAATGTCGAAAAATAATAATTAAAAAATAAAGATCATGCAACTTACCTTACAAAAAAAAAAAGAAACTAAACATTTTACTACTGCTACAACTTAAATAAACTATAACAAAAACAAAAAATATAAACAATAAGTATTTATTGTGTACAAACTACTTATAAATAAAAACTTAATGAATCTACAGCTTATGTATACGTATAAATGATTACAATGTGATACATAATATAAATATTAAGATGTACTATATGCATCTCCTAAATTACTTGTGTCTGGAATTAAAAAAAAGGCAAATAAACAGAACATCCATAATGTATTTAAATGAAAAAGCAAAAATGCTCCCCGATAAGCTTAAGGCCAAAATATGATAAATGGCACAAATATAAGTTAGCCCAAAGTTGCTTTATTTGCAAGATACAGGGTGTTGATTTTTTTCGAAAACATCATAAACATGTAAACATCTCAACAGACATCTAGCATTTGATGTAGATTAATGAAATTTATGTTGTCGACTTAACTAAATAAAAGTAAAAATTCTCTTGTATAAAATTATATCAACGTGATGGGGATACTGGGAAACATCCCTCATAAAGAATCTCAGAATGTTGACGAAGCTTATTATTTTAGAAATACTATATCTTCATTTGATCTCTTCCATTTTATTCATAAAATGAGTAACTTTAACCCGTTTACTGCTCCAGACGAGTTTACTCGTTAAAGATTTATAGGACTCAAACTGCTCCACACGAATTAATTCGCTTGAATAGTTAAATTGGATTAGGCTGTTCAAACCGTATACAGGGTATAGCAAAAGTACCGGAACGGCAGAATAACTCGGCGGGAGAGCATTTTAGAGAAAAATGTCCTGGCTATCCGATGGTGACCTTGATATTGACCTTGAAGATAATTTCAAGGTCAAATGTGATTTTTCAAATGGGACTATACTTTTGACCCCAGAAATGAAAAGAGCGGAAAATTTTACGTTCAGATATGACCTTGAGTGACCTCTCCCATTTAACCTTGGGGACCCCACAAGGTTAAACTAACAAAAGTACAGAAACGGCAGAATAACTCGGCGGGAGAGCATTTTAGAGAAAAATGTTAAATCCAAAAGTTTCAGGATTTCTTCCTGGCTATCCCTTTAAAAAATCACATTTAATCTTGAAATAATCTTTAAGGTCAAGGTCAATGTCAAGCTCACCATATGATAGCCAGGGAGAAATCCTGAAACTTTTGTATATAACATTTTTCTCTAAAATGCTCTCCCGCCGAGTTATTCTGCCGTTCCTGTACTTTTTTTAATTTGACCTTGTCGGGGACCCAAGGTTAAAAGGGAGGGGTCACTTAAGGTCATATCTGAATGTAAAAGTTTCCGCTCTTTTAATTTCTGCGGTCAAAAGTATAGGGTCCCATTTGAAAAATCACATTTGATCTTGAAATGATCGGCAAGGTCAATGTCAAGGTCACCATCGGATACCCAGGGAGAAATCCTGAAACTTTTGTATTTAACATTTGTCTCTAAAATGCTCTCCCGCCGAATTATTCTGCCGTTCCGGTACTTTTGCTATACCCTGTATATTCGCAATCATGCGCATTAGTGACTCGGTTGTTGCAATTGATGGGGAATTTTTGCGGGCAGAGCTTATAGCGATTGTGGCAATTATTTTTATGGAAGAAGGTACTGGTAATAATGCCAAAATTGTTCATCTCTTTTTCAGTTTCTGTTTAGTACGGCTGTCGATATATTGTATTTTATTTAAAATAAAATCGTAAAAATATCTAGACAATTGACAGACAAAGAACTGGAAGAAATTTTAGGGAGAAGCGATAGCGGCGACGAGTTTGGGATTGAGGAGCCTAGTGAAGGATGCTTTAAAATTAAATATTAATACTACTACTATTACAATTATTTTGAAACCTTTAAATATATTTTAATTTAATTGAACAAAACATGTAAAAATATAAGTAGTCTAACTGCTCCAGACGAATATACTCGCACGCGGTAAACTTTCGCGCACGGCGCGGTAGCTACGTTCAGACGTATTGCGCAGCGAAAGGGTTAAGGGATAAAACCACTCTAGAATTTTGAAAAAATCTAGTTTTGGATAAATGGTTTAAACAATGCTTTAGGTACTATGTGAATATATGAAAAAGATTTTAGGTAGGGAAGAAAATCGATCGGGAACACGAGTTTTTTTGAGGTGGACCACAACCACTCGCATCACCCTGCAGAAGTGCCTATTGTAACTCATAAGAATGAGTACGATAGTTAACTATTATAAAAGCCAAATCGAGTCTCTAATCAGGCATCGCTGATTGAAGGTATACATATAACGAATGGCAATAGAAACTTTAAAGTTTTTCCGAGAAAACATTTTCTTTTTAACCGGCCGGAAACGTATCTCAAAAAGTTTTCAATGAATGACTTGAAATTTTGTAGAGGTTCCTAATATAATTCAGGGAACATCGTAGGTTTTTTTTCGATGGATTAACAATTTTCATTGTTAACAATTTAATGCAAAATTTTTTGTTTTCTTTCAATACTTTTTTTTAATATTCACTAAATCAACAATTATTAATATTTTTTAATTTCCTTGCGATGTTCCACAGCTTCTAGTATGTCAGAAAATTTTTGTTTTTTTGTTCCAAGACCATCCGTTAATAAGAAACCTTTCCGGCCATACTACCCTCTGAATAAATGTGTGTCGTTGCTTGCCATCACTTATAGTGGCCATTTTGAATCCAAATCGTTTGAAAAAATTCACAATACTACCTGAAAGCTTTTTTGTTCACCTTTTTTCCAACCTCTAGAAAGGCGTTATCCCTTCATTATTATTTTTTTAAATAAGCTTAGTATACACCACATACTTCTATCCTATACTGATCATTACCTATAGTTTCAATGGATGACCTTGTTTCCAAAAAGGGGGGGCGAGACGTACTCCGTGTGTTTTGCGCATGTTCCATAATTAGGCGCGGTTGCATTCAAATTGAAAAGATTGTCACGGCATGCTCTGTACTATAGCCGATTATATACATATAAGATATTAAAATAAATAACGTAAGTATCTGCATAACCTATTTAATATTTTGCAGGCTCAAATACAATAAAACAGAATACAAATTTATATGCTTTTAAAACTATATACATATGCATGTTCGTAATTTTGGACATTTTTTAAATGACTGGTTTATTTATTAAACAAGACTTAGTATTTCAAAAAATCGCCACTATTCGCTCAAGCCGGGCACAACTGACAATCTTTTTTTTATAAAATAAGTTCATTATATAATTATTTATTATAATGGTTTCTGCAGTTTATTTGATAATATAAAAAAAACATGCTATAAAATATCTGTAAGAGACCAATCCGATAATAATGTCCACGATTAAGGTGGCCATATCCCTGGCCGAGAAATGGTGAAATTTCTGGCATATTTAGGTACTGAAATCTTGAAAAGTAAAACGTGTAGAACAAAAGTAAGCACAAAAATAAAATCCTTGATGTTTTATTTATTCATTGTTACCATTTAAATTTACCCAAATAAAATAATAACAAAAAAAGCGTTTGTAAAACATGCGTTTTCTGTTTATCCTAACCCCACATTTTTAGAATTATTTTCACGTACTTATAAATAAAAGTAAACAATTTTATATGTAGGACTAAGGAAGTAAATGTAAGAATATTTACATGTGGAGTTATATATAAAAAAGGTAGTATTTTCGTAGATTTCAGTACCTAAAATCTTGATGGTTTGATTGTTTCTTGCACCTGTTTATTCGTTTTACTGCGGCGTCTTTGAAAATACTCAGGTGGCATGACATAACATTCCTATTATTTGATAAACTTTAGATTATTCAGTTATTAAATGTTTGAAATTATTTGTCTTTGCGGAAAACACTATTTAAAGGCCCTTAAGGAAGGCTCTTATCGAGTATAATTTTGAAACATTTTTACTAAATATCAACACAAGACAAATTAATAGAAGAATTAGTGCAGGTTTAAACAGATTATGAAATAAAACTCAAAAGATACATTTATTTATTTATTTATTAAAATATACACTATACCATAACAGTTTCACCAAAGCACTAGCGCAACACAAAACAAAATGAGAAATTGAGAATATTTTTTAGGTTAGCTCGGTTTGGCTTTTTACCGCTCGGCGCTCACCGTTCTTGGTTCCTTTCAACCAATCAAAACCCGTAAAGTAAGCGCATGCGTATGAATATGCTGGTACGTCGCCCCACTTTTCGGCTTCAAGTCAATTGCAAAATGATCAGTATAGGATAGAAGTATGTGGTATACACTTAAATAAATAGAACTCTAAGTGTTTGTGGGTACACACGCCGCAAGTGACCTATTTTTTAAACATTACGACAAGAGCGTCAGCCTGGCGCCGCCTGGACGCACCAAGGTTCCAGGAAGGATCCACGGCGAATTGGCGCCGGTGATCAGATACCTACGAACGACTCCACACAGAACGGACTTTCCAGCAAACACTCGCTCCAACAACACTTCTTTTTCACTAACGTTTTTCAATAAAAATATTTTTCCATTGAGAGAGTTTTATTTGCTGCACACCGAAAGCAACCCTGTTTGTTTCACAAAAACCATTTATAAAATTTTTTGTTGCATATACAATTATCAATTTTCTGACATTGTATTTCAAACTGTATTTGCAATAAAAAATCCATTTTTTTTTTAATAATAGTTTTAGAACTACTTTTTTCAACTGTGTAGTAAGTTTAGTTTAGGTTCACTAATCTATGTCAAACGCCTTTCGATATACTGGCACATTTGTAATGTTTTCGAACACTTAAACATCCTGTAACTTGCAAATGAAGTAACTTTGAACAAGATATATTGGTCCAATTATCTTATTTTGTCCTCAAGATTATTTGATTGCATTTGCGCATCTTCATTTAAATACACTCTGTATAAGTGCTTTTACAATTCATAACATTACCTTGTTATCCGCCGCCTATCTAAAAAGCTTGGGGATCCATGGCGACGAGGAATGGATGGAGACCGAGAGCGTGTTGTACTGCTCGAGTCTGAGGAACTGCTGTCCGAACTTGACCTACTTCTTGATCGAGAAACTGTTCTTGACCGAGACGGTGAATTGGTACTGCTTGAAGACGATGATTTGCTTCTCTGGCTATCTTTAGAACTAAAAAATAAGAGGAAATCTTATATTACTATAACATTCTTAATTAACTTTTGTACAGCTTAATATAATAGTGAAAATGAAGACGTGTATTTCTAGCCCAAATGTTTTTTTTGAGATAAAACAAAACAAAAATTTGAATTTGAATACATTTTTAATTACTTTAGTCTCCTTACATTTTTTTTAGCTGCAAATTTGCAGAAAACATAACATATTAACCTTTTTTAATTAAATTTGATTATATTACTAGTCTCGAGAAGTCTGTACTAGTGATGGGAGAACTCGAATGAAAAATCAAGTACCATCGATTCTTAAAAGTACTGAATACTTGATTAAAGTACTCAAGTACTGGAAATATTTGATTTAATTTAAATCAACTACTGATTTAGCATATAGAATGAATAGGAAGAATTCAAATACTTTTAGTTCTCGGTGGTTATCAGAGTTCTCACTTGAACAAATGGATGACTCGTAAACGGAAACAATATTAAATATTCTATATATCTACATACATATTGTTTACGATTTTATATTATTTAAATATTTATTGGAAACAAAAAAACATACAGAAGTAATATTTTTTTCTAGAAAACATTTAGAAAAGAGAAATTTAAATAATTCTACACAAAACCTTATCCTCCTCTAGGTTTGTCATAACTGAGATTAACTGTAATTATTATTTTTGAACTGAATAGTAGATATTTTCAAATTTTATAATTTGAATGAATACATTTGAATTTTATTGATTTAATTATGTACTTTAATATTCCTGGGTTTGTTTAGACAATTTAAAAACTGAAATTATGAAAATCAGTTTAATTAAATATACTGTCATAAGTAAAAAATATTTTTTAACTGAACTTGGTATTAACCTCTTAAGAGGACAATAAGTTCAGTGGTAATAGTCAAAAATACATATATTAAAGACTTCAAGTGATTTAACCCTAGCCTGGCAGGCTTGTAAACATGTAAAACAAGTTTTAATTGATCAAAATCTTCATTCGACTGTACCTACACTACCTACAGCCTGTTACAAATACGCACTACAGGGATCTTGGAAACGGTAAGAGATACGAACTAGCTTACTTGGGACCAACATTATGCCTCTTAAAAATCATGGCTAATATTATCAGTTTTTGGAATATTAAAAAAAACCGAAATTTTGGAAATCCGTTTTTGTTTCATTTTAGCCTTGTTTGAGCTGATATTACGGCCTTAGAAATGTTATTACATTTTTTGCAACACTATACTGCCTCAGCCCAAAACCAGATTCAGACGTTTTGTCTAGAAAAATTCATCTTCAACATATTCATTCCAAATTTATCTAAATTTTTTATTTAGATTTCTGTGCTTATTGAATTATCGTACATTCTAAGTGTTATTAGACCTTGTGAAAACCTAATTATTTAAACTATTACCATCACCTAGTCGTACATAACTCGATTAGATGTTCAAAATTAACACATTATTACAATTTAACTTTTATTATAACAAATTAATTCTTAAAAATGCATATGAACAACCAAAACTCCAAATGATTAATTATACTTTAAAAAATTACAGTAAATGTTCGAAAACCTTTCCGCCTTCTTCTACACATAAATTATCCATATTACTGCATTACCAGTTATTTTTAAATCAACCTACATTGTGGGAAGTAACAATGAAAAGTAATTTGGAAACAGATGACTTTCATATAACTTCCCAGGAGCAAAAAAGCGATTTATAAGTACTGAATATGAAAATGTTTGTCAGATTGGTTCAACATTGAAGCACACCCACCGTGTAATATTGATATATTTGTAAAAAGGTTGTTAGCAACCTACAGTGCACGTGGAACAAATGAACTCCGTACCCTGAGATCCACAAAGTGAAAAGTGGCAGGTTTACAACATTTAAAAGATTTTGTGAGTTTTGGATGCCATTGATGATGGATTTGAACAAATTCAGAGCATGAAAAACTAAGAAACAGAAATTTTAAACTCAAAGATTAGTCTCAAAATTGCAATTCTGTTATAAAAATCATTTATTCATCTATTTATCATCATCATCTATTTATTTTTGTGTTAATTATCATTACAGTGCAACCTCTTTAATCTGAACAGACGCTAATCCGAAGGACAAAATCTGAACGATGACAAGAAAAGACTAGATCGCTTCGCGCGTACGCGCATTGTTGGCAGTCATTGGCACCTGTCCGCCCAATGTCAATTTGTTTGCCGATAGCGAAGAACCTGTTGTGTGTCGTGTTTTGTGTAACAATTTTCGAGTTTTTTCGGAAGAGAAATAAAAAATGTGAAAAGCGTAAAATAATACATATATAACTACATGTTTCTGTTTTACCTTATGTAAGTTTTATGTGTCTTATATGTTTTATATTTATATTGTTATAACAAAATGTGTATGTACTAGTGCTGGCAACTGAAATCGGTTTTTTGGATAGTCGGTTAACCGGTTTCGGATAATTCGGATTTTGTTATTCGATTCTTCAAATATCCGAAAACCGGTTATATTTTTTTTTAGACATCCATGAATAACCGGTTTTAGCAACTATTCGACTAACCGGTTTTATCTGAAATCGGTTTTTACGGAACCCGGTTAACTGGTTTCACTTTTAGCACTAGTATGTACTTGTACTTACATAATATACATATGTACAAATCTTTATAGTATGTTCGATAATTCGAACGATTCGATAATACTTGTTAAGTACTGTTTCATAGTTTATCTTATTTAAAAGAATTAGATTTTTTGTGGGATAACAGGGCTCATGCAGAGCATTCACCCAACAAATGTGACAAGCGCCAAAGAACAGTAAGTGACTGTGAGTGGTACAGAAATTTGCTTTTTAATAACGTTTTCTTTAAATATGAGATTTGCAAAAATGCACGGCCTAGTTCCACATTGTACATGCGCTACGACTAAAACACACTGGTGTTTGAGGTTACACTAGCTTACACAGATAAAAAAAATGATTTTTCACAATGGAATTTTAAAAAATACACGTTTCTAAAGGCAAGCCTTTGTATAAATATGACCCCCGAAGTTACACCCATTATAATCTGGTATTTTGAAAAATAAAATCGTCATCTATATCATATGAGAAATCATTGTAATAGGAAAAAAATGTTGAATCCCATAAGGAAAACAAAAGCTGCATATCATTTCTCCGTCTTAGCAAGCGCTACGGCTAATACGACTATATATTTCTATTTTCCATCAAAAATGTTCTAACAATGATTAAATTTAAAAAGTCCATCTCTTTGCGTTTTTGGTAAAAAAAATCAATATTTTTAGTTATTTGTCGATAACTTCAAAACGAAAAAATTGATCAAATTTCTCCTCGACACATTATTTTCATTCAATTTCCCAACTTTATCCTAAATTGACCAACCCTGTATATCTTAAGGTAATAGAGATTCCAATGGGCAGCTCAAAGAACGGGCATGGCAAAATGTAGAGATGGGCCACTGATAAGTTCGAAAGTTTCCAAAATGGGAACTTTTCGGGAAGGGAAGAATATTTCCTTATTATTTTGAATTTCCCGCCAAATTATACATAACATAATATTGAGGTTTTATCTGTTGAAAGCATTTGCGATTTTTGTACAGCAAGAGAATTTATTGTGTTAATTAATAAATTATTTATTTTGAATAATGTCACTATTATTTCATTATTCCTATGTGTTACTTTCGAATTTTGCCAGTTTAATTAATTAATTAATTAATGTTGCTACAACTTACAATGAGCATACACATGTTCAAAATACAAAAAACAGTTTATAAGTGGTGGGAAATATTTCTGGGCAAATTCCCTTGGAAATATTCCCTTGGGTTATTCAAGGGAAACATTTGGCAACATTCCCGAAATACTTATATTTTGGGAATATTTCCAAAAAAATATCTTCACGGGAATTTCCCATCTCTACTAAAATGTTTAATCAAGCTTTATTGGAAGATTCTACAACACAAATTAACAAATCAAGTGCCCGTTTTCAATATACCAGATGTAAATAATACTGAATTTTATTCTTACACAACAATTACTTGAATAATTATTTTTATTTAAAAAATAATTGATGTTTCACCACTTTTAGCAATAATTATCCAGACATAAAATTTTATCATTTATCTCGAAAGTGGCGCAGTCTAGCTACAGTAATAAAAAATTTTTGGGAACACTTTAGTATTCTGTTATAATAGCGGGCTAAATTAAGAGAGCTTGGACAACATTACATCTGACCTATTTCTCCCTATTAAAAACCTGAGGAAGAGGGTGGAAAATTAATGTGATATGGCTTATTAGTAGTGTTGGCAAATGTCCGAACATTTTAGAATTGGACAAATGTCCAAGACACTTATACGAACATTTTAGAACATAAAATGTAACAGATTTACTGTACAGCATATGTCATAAGCTTCAAGATGATACCATATACTTATATTTTCTTAGAATATACAGGGTGTGGCGTCTTTAGTGCAGAAAAAATAAAATGCAGATTCCTAGGAATATATGCAATAAAAAAGCCTTATATAAGAAATTCATATATCCACGTTTTGTCAAGAAAATTGAATTTCAATTTTATAGCAAAGAAATAAATCTTAGTACGGTCCTGGTCAAAAAATGTCATGCCATTCGATTAACATCAGCGCACGCTTGCCGAACCGAACTTAACAGAGAGTCAAGCCTTTGCGCAAATCAGTGTTGCCAAATTAAAATGTATGAAATACACACAAGAGATAAAATGTTTTAATGCAATAATAAATAATTTTGGCCAGTTTAATACAATCCTCTCGTTTTAATTAAAAGGAAAAATAAAATAAAATTCAATTAGTTATTTCAGTGTAAATGATAATGTGCAATCCCAGAAAAGAGGTTTGTAGAAACAAAGTACATGGTGTACAGAAAAGACTACTATTATTTTAGCAAGTGATAGGTTGGATCACGAAAAACAAAAAAGATGCAAACTTACCGCTATCGTTCGATAGTAGTAAACGTATTATTGTTGTCCTCGTTATCCATTGCCGATTTAGTAAAAACAATAACTTAAAAAATAAAAAATAAGAAACGTCTTTAATAAACACTTAACGTCTAAACAGTAGAAGCGCGATCTTTTTGACACAACTTAGCAGCAATTCGGCCGCAAGTCAAGAGCGTACTGACATTACCGGCATTAACATTTTGTCACTTCTTGTAATTTTTTGGAAAATATTTTTGATACTTAAATCTCATAATCGCCTTATGGTAGCATATATTATTTTACTTCATTTATTGTCAAGAGTCTAAGTTTTCAATTTTCTGCATTAAAGACGCCACACCCTGTATGAGTATTCTCTGAAATACAATAAGGTGAAAAATGAATATTTTCGTAACAATTTTCGTCTACCCTTTACCAGCTTAACATATTAAAAAATTAATAGTATTAACTACGAAATTATGGTTTAAATTGACGAAATTTAAATTATTATTGTGAAATAGAAAAAATAGAAAAATAAAATAAATTTTTATTTGGAGTAACAAGTACACTATATATAGGGTGTCTGTGAAAGATTGAGAAATCTCAAAGCTGGAGATACTGGTGGCCAAAATAAGTCGATTGAGCCAAATATGCCTTATGCAAATGTTGCCGGTTTCAAAGATACAGGGCGTTCAATGTTTAAATTTTATTTTGTTTCTCAATAATTTTGAACTCTGTCTGAACAAAAAAAATTGGCACTATTATGTTTTTTAACATGACAAATAAGAATTTTTAACTACTTTTGGTCTGTATAGGATGTCAGTTATGCCCTATTTCTTTGATAAATTGAGGAAATTTTTTTTTGCCTTTAGAATTACAGAAATTAGAAGAGTATTGAAAATATGAATGAAGGTCCTTTGTTTCATAAAAAAGTTACTATTGTTCATTTTCGATATCTTCCTTGGAGTTATTTGCATATACAAATTTCAATGCATTTCGTTTTTAAGCAACTTTTAATCCTTAAATTAAACAAATGCGACTTGACAACTAGTGTATAAACCATATTATTTAGTTTTCTAAAAAATAACTGAAAGGAAAAGTCATTTGAAAATTGGGAAATCTCTCAGCGTATAATCTTTGAGCTCTCAATGCATTACATCGTGCTTCTCCATAGATTAAGTGCATAGTACGGCTAGGTGCAGGTATTTTTCAAAACCACTTGATTAATCCGTTATGACATTTTTTATCTCCAAATCAGTTTCTGATTTAACTATCTTTAGTCCAAATAGTTGTAGTAAAAACCCCAAAAAGACTATAAAACAATTCCAGCGGATTGTAACAATTTTGAATGGAAGATTTCAGAATTTTTAGGTTAGCTCAGTTAAGGGCCCCATATTCTTTAAATAGTGTTTTCCGCAAAGACAAATAATTTCAAACATTTAATAACTGAATAATCTAAAGCTTATCAAATAATAGGAATGTTATGTTATGCCATCTGAGTATTTTCAAAGATGCCGCAGTAAAACGAATAAACAGGTGCAAAAAACGATCAAACCATCAAGATTTTAGGTACTGAAATCTACGAAAATACTAACTTTTTTATATATAATTCCACATGTAAATATTCTTATAACATTTAATTGCTTAGTCCTACATATAAAATTGTTTACTTTTATTTATAAGTACGTGAAAATAATTCTTAAAATGTGGGGTTAGAATAACAGCAAACGCATGTTTTACAAACGCTTTTTTTTAGTTATTATTTTATTTGAGTAAATTTAAATGGTAACAATGAATAAACAAAACATCAAAGATTTTATTTTTGTGCTTACTTTTGTTCTACACGTCTTACTTTTAAAGATTTCAGTACCTAAAAAAGACAGAAATTTCACTATTTCTCGGCCAGGAATATGGCCACCTTAACTGAAAATGGCGGTAATTATGAATCTGAATAAAGTCTGGACAGATGCGATAAATGTCTAGACATTTTCATTCTGTCCAGACACATTTGGACACATGTCTGGACATTTATATGTCTGCCAATACTACTTATTAGATATCAAAATATGTGCCTCTCAAAATAAAAATTGGATTGGTGGAATGCACAACATTTATTATTTGAATTTTCATGGATAAGACGAAGAATTTAAGTATTTTTTAAATATCTAAACTAATAATGGCTTACCTGACACTGGAATGAGAAGAACTTCTTGATCTAGATTTTGACTTCTTAATTTTTGAATAAGCAGCCTTTAATCTAGATCTAGATTTGTCAACACTTCCATTCCTCTCAATGTCAAAATCGTCTTTATTGATAGGATCTTGTAATTTCTCTTTTTCAATTCTTAATGGCAACACTTTAATATCAAACAAGTCCGGTTCAATATGCCTTCTCAAAATATGTTGAGGACTTGGAGGTTTTTCTTTCTTTCTTTCTAAACTCTCTTTAGCTTTAGCAGCTAAATCTGTCTTTAGAAGTTTTAGCATTTTTATTTCTCTATCGTCTTCCTCTTCTTCTTTTTCAAATTCATTATCTGAAGGGTCGGATTCATTAGATGATGCTCTCAATCTCACAACTGGCAATGGTTTCCTCGATTTCGATTGTTTCTCATTAGTATCCTTCTGTCTTGAATTTTTTTTAATATCTGGGGTACTGGACTTCGATTTACGTTTGCTATTTGGGCTATAGGTTGACCTAGACTTAAAGTCTGGAGTTAAGGATTTTTCACAAATTTCTTGCTTAGTGTTATTACCAGTAGAATATTTTTCTGTGCTTCCATCTTCACCAATTTTCCTTGATTTCTTATCAGTATTATTTTGCTCTCTACTTTTAAAGTTATCACCTCTTTCATAACTACTTTCTCTGCTTATGCCACCAACTTTGGCATTATCATTTTTATTTGAACTTGGTGATCTAGATTTATACGATTTTTCATAATCAGAAACATTTTCATCGTTTATACTATTATTTCTATATATTTGTGTCTTGGATGAACTCAAATCACAAATTTTGTCAGCAGTCAAGAGGGCCAAAATTGATTTTTTTGAGGTATTTTCTGATTCAGAATCTCTTCTAGGAGAGTACCTTTTCTTATCTAACTGATTAGGAGATGAGCTTCTCTCATGCTTTCTGGACTTAGGTGACCGATTTCTATAATCACGACTTTTTTCTCTTTTAGGACTCTGTCTCCTTTTATGTAGAGGTGACACAGGTGACTTTGATCTTTTATTATTATCAGGTGACTGAGTTGACCTTTTATATTCTGATGATTTTTCATGTTCTACCTTTTTGTCATATTTTCCTAACTTTAATTTTTTAGTTATCGATTGAGACCTTGATCTTCTAGGTGACTTTGATCTTGGTTTTCTCTCCTGAGACATAGATCTATTTCTGTATCTAATTCTGTTTTCTATAGATCTAGATCTAGACCTTCTGGATTTTGCTTGTGATCTAGATTTTGATTTCATCAAATTTCTTGTATTTAAATCCTTATCAGACTTTCTATCTTTTTGTTTTTCAACTGGTGATGAAGTTCTGGAATCTCTTCTTTCTAAAGATCTGGATTTAGATTTCTTTCTTACTTCTCTTGATTTTGATCTTCTGTCCATCAATTTTTTCATTTTAGAGAACTCATCATAACTTCTTTCCTTAGAATTATTGCGAGAGATTTTCCTCTGATCTCTTTTTGAATAAGGTGATCTAGATCTCCCATGATTAGAATATTTTTCTTTACTTTTGTTTTTTGCTGAATGGGAATCATAATTTGAATCTTCTTTCCTTGAACTTTTATCTTTCCTTGATTTATATCTTTGGTCATTTTTATGCTTGTGATCCAATTTAATTTTTTTATTAGGTTCTGGAGAGCTAAAAAATGAGTTCATAGCTATTGTATGTAAAATTCAATGTAATATTTACCTTTCTCTAGAACTTTCTGAAGAGGAACGTTTCTTTTTCCTGGACATTTTCCTCTTCTAAAACATAATTTGATTATTAGACATAACATTTCATTATGTAAGAGAAACTTCCATAATTCGAATAGCCTCGATAATCCTATAAATAGGAAAAAATTTGATGCAAATAGCACTTTTTATAAACAAACATTCATCCTTAGGAGACAGATGTTTCTATATATTTAAATCTTCATAATTTGAAATATCTTAGAGGCAAATTGAGATTCGAGTTACGGGAGTTTGACTGTATGACACACAATATGCTATATGCTGTGCATGTCTCGTTGGGCAAACTGTTAACACTAATTTTTCTAATCAAAGCAGACTCTATAATACTTTAGAGATTGAAACTGAAACACAGATTAATTGCAATGACGAACAAAATTTTAAATCAGAAACTGGGCTAACTTTTCTGAAGGCCTTTGAGGCGCTGAATCTGATTCTGACTTCAGAATTGCTCCATCATGTCAGATTTTCTAGATAGATAGAGCTGAAATTACGAAAAAACACGATTTTTCGCTATATTTGACTGTTATTTAATTTTCGCCACAAAACTCGGTATGTCATCTGCAAGTACTACTCATATTTTTCAAAATCCATTTAGAATCCTTTGAATAATATCTTCTTAGAAATCGTATGTTGAAATTGGATAGTAGTTTATTCGCCAATATTTAGAAATTGAGTAGCATAAAACGTGAAATAGATAAGTATGAGTTCATATTACCAATAGAATTACAAAAAGTCTTCAAACTCTCACAATCCTTTATTGTAAAATTATTTACATATGATGACTAGTTTCCAGGTCATGATTACACCTCATCATCAGGTCATAACAGGATATCAGATTAGTACCTTGTAAATTTGATATCCTTGTATGACCTGAGTCGTCGTATGTAATTAATTTTACAATAAAGGATTGTGAGAGTTTGAAGACGTTTTATATTCTCATGAGTAGCATCAGGTGAAGATTCAAAAAGAGAAAAGAATCAAATTACAAACACATAAATTCCCATTGGTTTTTCATGCTTTTACAGTCGCTAATTAGAATTTGAAGACAGAATTACAAAATCCATTTTACAAATTACAAACATTTTGATGAATACTGAACAAAATTTCTAGAAGAAAATATGGTTACAGATTATATACTATACTTCAGTCCTCAGGCCGAGGATAACTATTAATCGCACATTTCTGCTATAAACAATTCTGAGACCATTGAGATAGTTGAATTCAAATGTAACACTGCAATTGTCAAATTCAAAATGGTGGATTCAATGTTTCAGATATGATGTAGACTTTAGAACCCCACAGTCCTGTGAAACGAATTTCAATATGGAAAGCTTCTAAAGAAAAATTCTAAGACTCTATAACACCATAACCCTGAAGATCGATTTTCCAAATATAAAAAACGTTAATATAGCAAACTCCTGAACTTCATAACCCTGTAAAGTGAAATTTCTAAATACGACGAATACATCAAACTAATCAATTTCAATAAACGACTTCTTGGAGAGGAAAAGAAATAGAGAAAGAAAAAGAATCCATAAAAATGGATTTTAAAGGGGAAGAGTAATACTTTCAGACATTTTGTAGGGGAAAATTACCTGACCATAACCTCAAATATAGCAAAAAAAAAAAACAAGTTTTTTGCAGTGTTACACTTTTTCACACTAAAATGATGCAATGAAGCAATTCTACCATCACATTCAAATCCAACAGGCAAAAAACCTTTGGCGAAGTGTCATCTGGTTTTTGGTAGGAAGGTCAGTTGCATTTTGTCAGTCCGTCTGTCAAGAACCATTGGAGATATAGATTTTAAACTTACTGTGTCCCTATTAGTAGCTACAACTACATACAAAATTTGAACAAACACTAACCAATAGAATAAAAATTAGGAAGGATCCAAGGCGTTTTAACTATCAAAAAAATTATTTGACACTCAATTTACTATTACAAATTTTCGTAGAATGCATTTTCTTGGTTAAAAGTCCATAAACTATAAAGTATAATTTAATTTGCACAAATTTGATCTAGGAAAGATTTTATTTTCAAACAACTTTTTTTTGACAACAGAAACCCATCCTAATTCCAAAGTTACAAGTTTTTGTCCAAAATAGCTAACCATTATAAGAAAGTTGCAATGAAATGTCTTCAAAAGAAGACCAACTGACCAAACATGTGTTTTGCATATTAGCATTTTAGTAAAAAAAATGTTATTCTGGTTGTTTTCTAAAATTGAAAAGAACTGTTAAAATTTTCGTCTGTTTTTAAGTAAACTGTTCAGTTCTGTGTCAATTGTTTGTACTCGAAACTTATATCGTGACTGTATTTTATATTTTAGTTTATCTGCAAGAAATAATTGTTCATTATTGTAATTTTTATAAAACAAAAGCGAGATATATATTCCACTGTAATTTTTGACAGTGTAATGAATAACTAGTATTTAATCCATTAACAATACCTTTAATTAGGCATTTTTTTTCTATTAAAATAGTTAAATATACAAAATGCAGGTACAAAAATATTCAGAAAAATAAAACTTTATTGGCAAATATTATTAAGACATACCAAATAAATACTTGCTACCAACAGTCAAAGACAATTTTGATTCTTATTAAGACAAAGCTTATATTTACTGTAACTTTTTTGTAATTTCTCTACTAACCTCCTTTTTCCTACTTTTCTTCTTCCTTTCATCTTCACTGCTGGACTCATTTTCTGAAGTAGATGACTTTTCTGAAAAATCTTCGTTTTTTTGTTTCTTTTTCTTCTTTTTCTCTTTCAATTTACTGGACCTACAGATAACACAAAAAGAAGGATTCATAAAGAGGAAACAGATGTAGAAGACATATATAAACAACTTTTAAAAACAAACAAATAAAACATTTTCGCATAAGAGTTTTACCAATAATAACTGCATCTGTAATTTTCTAGACAAAAAATATCTTTACAAATAGGTATGAAATTTTATTATTTTAACTGAATGACATAAATTTTCTTTGCAATGTAGAATAAAGCAAATTCTATTTGACAATAGCGAATTTTTACCAATTCGGATATTATTAAGAACTGCTAAAAGACACACGCTGTAGCCATTCTTTTACTTTCTATTGCCCGTCCAATTTCTATGATTTTATTTTTATCTCTTTAAGGAAACAGAGACATGCGGTGAACAAATATTATTAGCATATTCAAAACTGCTCATTCTTTTTCAATATAAAAATTTTTCTGTTGCACATTACAACTTGATTCATTCTGTACAATATCATTTCAATATCAAAAGTTACTATAAAAAAAAAACAAAATATTATTTATTTTATAAATGTAACATGCCAAAAAAAAATGTTTTATTTAGTTGTTTTGAAAGGAAGTTTATGAAACACACAGTGTTCTTATTGTAACATAAAAACTTTAGTGAAATTCTAATGCTTGAACGCACCTTCACATTCCAAACCTGGATGAGCTAAACATAGGCAAGAGCACAAAATAATAATTGACGAGATTTATATATCGGAACCATACCATTACCTGCATTTAGAGCCTTCATTGCACGTACGGCAAAAAAATATACCACCAATAAATTAGTATCGGACAAAGTATAAAGGTGTTCAGTATTTAGAAACAATATTAAAAAAACATTTTTCTAGTCTACTGACATGATATTGTAATAATATAAAAATTATGATACATAAAAGCAGAAATGACGATTTTTTAAGTAAAATAATTGTTATATCTGGTTTATTTTAATTTTAAAAGAATATAAAAAATCAGAATAATATTAATCTAATTACCTGTCTTTTTTTCGATTTTTCTTCTTCTTTTTCTTTTTTGGTTCTTCGCTAGATGAACTGAAAATAAAAAAGCAGTGAAAGCATTAGACCTCTTTTATGCACGCGTTTTCCTCCTCTCAACGCGAAATTGAGAAAAACGCGGCATATTTTTGTTCCATTTTTTGCACGCGTATTCTATCAGTTGTCGCCAGTTTCATGCCACACAGTAGTCAGTGAAGTACATGAAAATGGATCCGTGTATATTGTATTTGTGCTATAAAAAAATATGTAATAGAAAACGTAAGAGGCGATGGGCAGTACATCCAATTAATAGAAATAGAATTCAATTGCGTCCATTGCATCCATGTCCCGCTTGTTCAATAGCTAAACTAAAAGTAAAACAAACTGTGCTAAAACTATTCTTGACAGACAGAGCCACTGGACTTGCGAGAAAGAGCGCTTTGCATAAAAACGCCGATATACTTTCGTGCTTTTTCGGTTCTGTAAAGCCACCGCGACAGAATTGAAAACGCGAGAGCAAATAAACGAGCGTAAAATGCATAAACGTAGTAACTCTATTCAGGGTATCTTGAAACGCGGCGTTTTTGTCAACTCCGCGTTGAGAGGAGAAAAACGCGTGCATAAAAGAGGTCTTATGTTCATAATTTTCTTTTTTAAATTTATTATTATTTCTTATCTGATTACTCCAGTAAGTTCAAATTAAAAAAATTAAAATATAAAATTATTATGAACATTATCCCAAAGCCAGATTCAAACAATAATTGGTCTATTTGACAAGTATACATATAGGTGCATTTGTCAATCACAATAAACCTATATCACATGACTTTTATGTTTGTCAAATTCATACTTGGAGATGCACTGGTTTTATTTCTGCACTGTACAAATCTAGTGAGCATCATTTAGCAGTGGCAGTGAAAACATCATAGCTTCTGCCGTATTTATGTTAATGGCTGGATATTATTCGAAGATGAAGCAGAAATAGGAAATAAAAAGAAGCAAAATATATACAGGGTGTCCCGAAATTCATACAGCAAAATTTGGTCATACATTTTTAAGAGAAATTTAAGGGACCCGTATTTTTTCTTTTTGCCAACTGGCCCCCTCTTCCGGAGTTACAGCCCCCTGAATTCTACCCCTAAGAAGTTTTTTTTATATCTCAAAACTATGTTTTACGAGAATCACTAAATTTGGTTTTATGACATGTAGAATCTCACAGTGCTACGCTTTTTGGCGAGAAACCCCCTTAAGACACTTTTTCGTGGGCACCCTTGTCTTTGGAACCAGAAAAATTTGGTCGTTAATTTGATTTTTTTTAAAGTTATTAGTTAGCTAGAAAGCTATTGAATTTAGAAACTTTTTTGTCTCTTGATATTTGTTTCATAAAACATAATGTTATTGAGGAAAATGGCGAATCACAATATGCATTCGATCACATTTTCACATTTTTCTCGAAAACATTGCATTTTACGAAAAAAATATAAAAAAGACAAAAAGTTTTTAAATTTAATGGCTTTCTAGTGGACTGATAATTTTTATGAAATTTAAATATACGACCAAATTTTTTTGGCTCCAGACAAGAGGGCCCACGAAAAATTGTCTTAAGGGGGTTCCCCGCCAAAAAACGTTATACCATTAGATTCCACATGTCATACACCCCTGTGTACCAAATTTAGTGATTCTCGTACAACAGGGTTCTGAGATATAGAAAAAAGATTATTCTTAGGGGCGGACTTCAGGGGGCTGTAACTCCGAAAGAGGGGGCCACTTGGCAAAAATTAAAAATACGGGTTCCCTAAATTTGTCTTAAGAATTTGTGACCAAATTTTGATGGATGAATTTCGGGACACCCTGTATTAATAACAATACAATAAATAACAATTTCAATAACGAGATCGTTGCATTTGCACTTACTTCTTACTTCTTTGCAAAAAAGGAAAGTAGATAGAGAAAATAATGTTTACAATTACTCTTCTGAACTAAGTATTTACGAAAACAATGGGGTGGCATTTATTATATTCATAATAAAAACTCTTGTAATAATTTTTCCTTTCTTAAATTATATAAATTGATTTATTTACTTTTTTACTTGTCATATTATAGGCCTGACTTTAAATAAAGTTTCTATTCAACTAAAGATCCTGATTTGTCTGTGGTGATATATTTTGGGAAACCCATTTTTCTTGAAAAAACTGATAATTAAATTCTGATAAATGATGATAATTATATTATATATTGTTATATTATGTTATATTTTTCAGTAACTGTCGCACAAAAACGCATTGGTTATAAAATATAGAATTTCAGGGAAGTAATTGTAATTAATATCTCGCAAACAGTTAAAAGATAATACAACACTAAATTGAAAAAAGTTTTGTAAACAAAATGTCTGAAGAAATTGAATCTACGTTACTGTTATCTGAAATTAAGTGCATTTTTGAAAAGGAAGTCTGATGGATATTTTGCCAAAAAAAAGTAAGAACTCCGACATCAGAAAAAATAAATACATTTTTAAAAGCACCGGATAGTAGAAACTAGAAACTTATCAACACAAGTATTTTTGATTAAAATATTTTAGACAAAATTTAAACTTTAATTTTAATTATTATGGGTTGCAATGGCTATTGCGATTAGTGGTGAGTGCCGCAGAAGATAACTCTGGAAGTTAGAAATTAGTAATTTAGAAGATATAAATTAAAGATTATAAAGTAGCAGGAATAAACAAATTTGGAAAAAGCCTCAAGAAATTGCATCCTATTTAAAATTAGCAAACTCATGGCTAGAGTTTGCCCAGTATTCCAGAGTGGGGATAAATCCCAGATTGAAAATTACAGGCCTATATCAATAATTTCAATTTTTTCAATGGTATTTGAAATAGTACTTATGACTGCATCTAAATATCTGTACGTAATTTAATTTCTCCTTATCAATATGAGTTCGTAAGTGGTGGGTCTACTGTAACCAATCTTGCTTGATTATGATCTGTTAACCAATCAGTGTGATGTTATTAGTTTGACTGTTAGAAGAATTTGTATATCGTTAGTGTTTTTTTATATAAGTTGCTTCATAACTCATTTGTGCAAATTTACTTTCAGATATTAATATCCATGTTCCTAGAATTAATTCAAGAAGTAGTATTACTTTTAGATGTTCTAGGTCTAAGACAAATATATTACTGAGGTCACCGCTATATGTTATGTGTGTTAACTAATAACTTCAATTGTATAAGCCATCCATATGACAGTTTTAAAAGCTCATTAAAGGATCGTATTAAAATTGCTACTGATCACTTCGCCAATTGACTGATTATTTTTGTAGTATTTTATTTCTTTACTACATTCAGTATTTGTTATTGTATTGTGTTTGTATTTACTTAATATTATTTTTGTTTATATTACCTAATTGGGTTAAACCCTAAATGGGTTTTCTGTTGTGCAATAAAGCACTATTATTATATTGTTATTGAATACAAAACAGGAGTAGTGTTAAATGAATAGGTTACATTTTAATAGATATCTAGTACATTTAAAACTCGGATACAGTAGTGAGTTATTGACTAATTCTTGGATACCATTCAGCGTATATAAAAGGAAATATATATTTTAAAATAGTCAGCATCGTTATTTACTGCTGTTAAATAATCTTTTAAAAATGTTTGTTACTAGTTAACTGTTGTCTGTACTGTATAAAAAAAAATAAGTCTGACAGATGATTTTTATGAAGTTTTCGTTGTAGTAGCAAAGTTGTTAACAAAGAATAAACGTATTCGTTTTGGGTTTTGGTTTTGCTGGAGAAAAACTGAAAACATATCAAATGAGTGATAAAGTAGAGAAAACTGAGATTAGAAGAACATATTTAAAATAAAGAACACAAATGGTAGGACTCAACAGTGTTACAGTGCTTATCTTAGAGGCAAATAAATTTAACAATTGGCATTTTAGAATAGTGGGCATATTAAAAAGGGAAATATGCAATGAAGCCTTGGAAGGACCACCAGGAGAAAATGTAACAATTGAAGTTAGGAGCAGATATAATAAGGCCGATGCAAAAGCACAGATTATTATAGTACAGAGTGTGTCCGACAAGCACCTAGATATAATTAAAGATTATGAATATGCAAAGGATCAAATAGCAGATTTAAAAGACATATTCGTCAGATCCAGTTCATTTACAAAACTATGTTTATGGAAAAAGCTACTCAATTTAAAGCTTGGAATAAATGAAAAGTTGGAAAACCACTTCTTGAAATTTGACACAATAATCAGAAAGCTAAAAGACCTTGGTTCAAATATTGATGAAGGTGACAAAGTATGCCATTTGTTATTATCTTTATCGTTGAAATGGATTTTGTGAAAGCTAGGCTACTAGATGAATAAATTAAGTTCAAGTCACATGAAGAGATAAGAATGAAGTAAGCTTCAAGGTAAAGCAACAACAAAGGGGTGCTATACATGTGGCAGCCAATATCATTTTCAGGCATAGTGCCCAGAACGCTCCCCGAAAGATCAAGGCACAAGAAAGGTTTTTCAAATAAAGGAAGATGGTATGAAAAAAGCAAGGTTAGTTGCTAAAGGTTTCCAAGTACCTAATGCTGGAGAAGAATTCACTAGTTATGCTCCAGTATGTGGAATTTCAACCATAAGAGTTTTAATCTATGTTTCTGTGCAAAAGGCTTGGAGATTAACCAACAGCATTTTTAAATGGTTTACTGGATAATGATGTTTACATAAAAAGACCTGAAGGTTTAAATAGTGAATCAAATTACAAAATTAAACTGTGCATTATATGGTCTACGAAATTCACCCAAATGTTGGAATATGAAAGGACCCCGCACTAAACTTATGGGAATTGGTTCCCAGTCAAATTGGCTGAAATTTCAGTATGTTATACTTCAAGCCATTCTGAACAAATGTCTCCATGGGCACATAATCTGGAAATGCTCATATTCAGAGATACAGGGTCCCGAATGATTTTAAAACCATGGACGCGCACGGGGAGCTAAACGGACACTCAAAAAAAGAAAGTATATATTCAGGCCAAAAAAAGGCCGAAAACGCTATAATCGGGGTAAAATTGTCCGCTCTTTCCGAATTTGATACTAGTTTTGAGCTACCACCCTTCTAGGGGGTGGAAATGGGGGTTGAAGGGGACGAAATCGCAAAAATAAAAAGTCAGTGAACAGCAGCATTTATAAGGGCCAGAATTGGTCAAATGGGGGACTTTTATGAGCTTTCATAAAAAATCTACATGCAAATAAAGAATTACAATCTAAATGCGTTAGTTCTGAGAAATGTGGCGATATATTTACTAAGGCTTTGGGAAAAGGAAAATTCCACAAGTTTAGGCGGAGTTTGTTAAGCTGGTGATTTTGTAATAACGTTTAGTCTGACAAATTAACTAAGTTAAGAAGTTTATGTTATTATGTTCATGTTCAGCAATTGTATGTATTATGTTTATTTACGGTGATAATACATTTCAATTGAGGAACAGTGTTAAATAATCTTCTGAAAATGTTTGTTACTACTTAACTGTTGACTGTACCGTATTTCTATTTCTGTTGTTCTGTGGCTAGACAGATCATAAAAAAAATAAGTCTGGCAGATGACTAAGATATTTTCGTTGTAGTAGCAAAGTTGTTAACAAAAATTAAACGTATTCGTTTTGGGTTTTTGTTTTAATATAACTATAAAAAATGCACCATCAGGGATTAAAAACAAAAGTAACATAGAAATTAAAAAAAAGTGGTTATAACCAAAAGTACATAGTACATAAACATTAATTTATGAATGATAACCCTTTCCTGTAGCAATGTCGGAGTAAATTTTGCAAAATAATCGTCACATAAAATAAAAAAAATATTTATAATATCATATAGGCCAGTTCCTGTATCTAAATTTAACCTATCGAAATTTTTATACGAGAGCCATACTCATATTTTTGTTTTGTTTTTTCCTGGCAAAACATTTATTCCTTTTTTACTTCATTAAAATTTGATCTTATCTTTTGGAAAAATGAGTGAGAAAAACATTTTGACGTGACCATCATTTTAAAAAAGAATATCTCACAAGTAAAATCAACTGTCATATTTATTATTTAATACTATTTCAATAGTATTTAATACTAGGGAACAACTGATAAAACTTATAGTCCCTATATTGAGAGAGTACCACAAATACTCCATTTTGACTTCTGAAAAAAGGCATGATATTTGAAGTTGATACAAATGAATAGCACAATAGACCATACAATAACCTAATTTAAGTGAAAGAGGAACTTAATAAATTTAAAATGATTATCTACTATACAAAGCTTTTGAAAGCAAGTCTTCTCTGCTGATAGATTTCAATTTTTTTTTTATTTTTTACATCCAGATAAAAGACAAAATTCTTGTTTATTCAAATTTCTACAGTTAGGACACAGCAAAAAAAACAAGATAACTATAAGTTGACATATGTATGGCATTGACCATGATATTCAATCAAACTTCAATTGACTCGAGTTTTGTTAGTATAATAATGATGTGATTGGTCTAAAATAATAAAAATAAATCAATATAATTTATTTCCAACTCTATTGTAAGTATTAATAATTAAAACATGAACTTAATTTACTTTCATATTGTTTGTAATTATTTTATTGTTTGTCACACTAAAATGAAGAAAATTAAAATATTTAGTATTTAATTAGAAAATAACTAAACTTATTATCTAAAATATTAACCTGTTTCTGTGTTTTCTTTTTTTCTTTTTTATGCTGCTCTCTTTCGAAGTTAATTGTGGAGGTTCTGGGCTTGGCGTATGTACCAACTGATATCGAATAGCTTGAGTTTTTTCTTGTTCTCTCTCTTTTTCCCTTTCAATCGCCTCTTGTTTTTCTTTTTCAAGTAATGCTGCACTTTTTGCTAATTTCTCCTTGGCCTGTCTATCCGGATCAAAACTGCTACCATCCACAAAATATTCAGAAATTCCAAAAGCTTCCCGAAGACGAGCATTCTTCTCCTGTTGTGCTTCAGCTACTTGATGAGTTTCTGTCACACTAAAACAAAATAGTATATATAAAGACCTTGTTGAATGTTAATTGAAATATTAAGATGGTATGTTCATTAAAATATTTAAGGAATATTTCAAGTTGGATGTAATACTATTGCATTCTCTGAAAGAGAAGAGATATGTAGACGGTTAAATTAGGGCATAATTTAGTGACGATTTTTCAGAAAGCAAATCTTTTCATTAGTTTTTACATTATTTTTGCAAAATGCAAAGTTTTCAATGTCAATTTTATTGTTTTCCGGATTTAATTGAATAACTACATAAAAATAGTAAATAATAAGTCTGTCAATTTTTTCCCTCCATTCGAATGAAGAATTAGATATTTAGTCTGTCTTTTAGCAGATATTATAAACAATATTAACAAATGTTGAAGATAATATCAAGTTCATCGCCTTTTTTAAATTTTATGCTGTTATAATCTCAATAAAATTTAATTTTTTTATTTGTAAAAAAAATAAATTACCTATATATTTGAAGAAAAGTAACACTGATGATGACTTTTCTACTTTAAAACATCACAAAACAGTAACATATAGGTATGATACAATTAGAAGAAATTAAAGAATCCAGTGGCGCAATATTAATAAATAATTTAGCAAATTTTTAATTTTACTTTGGTCCAAATTTAATCAGTCTAATTGTAAGTGAAACATTTTCAGATATTTGTCTAATTCTATATTTATCAAAATCATTCAGCCCCTGTATTTCAAAAGCTAACGTCCGTCAGATGAATATCGTGATTAAATATTAATTGGGCCTTTTACCGCAACTTAAAATATTTTCTTTTGCAGATGACATTATTGGATAAAGAAAATTTTCTTTGAAACAAAAAAAATTGACCATTTCTACAAAACTATACAGGGTGTTCCTAAATAAGTGTCGCAACAAAAAACTGTAAATTCCTCTTGAAACATGACGACATGATGAAAAAGAAACATTTTTTTCCTCTTCCATTTTTCTCTCCGGGCTTTCGTTTTCGAGATACACGGTGTCAAAACTTTAATTTTTTTTTAGTTTTTCGCCAATATCTTAGGAATCGTTTGAACTACAGGACTGAGCTTTTGTACACACATTACCACTATTAATAGCTACTTTTTCGCACCCTTCTCGAATTCATTGGACGTGCCAGTGGTGGAGATTTTAAGGTATCGTAAGGGTTTTTCCCCCCCTAAATTTTACGCCACTGGAAAAATTGACTTTTGACAGCAAATTCTAAAGCGCCAATGAATTTTACACAATAAGAGTTCTCTTGGTTCATTGCTCTAAAGTCAACCGTTTTCAAGAAAAATGACTTTTTATGAACAAAAGCAAACATTTTGCTAACGTTTCGAAAATCTTTTGTAATTCAAAAAATAGGTAGTAATAATTAACAATTTTAACGAAATTTAACAACAGATAGGATTTTAACTTTTTTTTATCAATTTGGCGAGTAAAATTTACAGAAACTGTTCAAAATTACGTCCGTTGGCTTGAATGCACGCATTACATCTTCTAATCATGTTTCTTTCTGCCGCTGCGGTTTCACCTCTATCGGTCAATTTTCGATAGTATTGACATGGATTTCGTAAACGATGCATTTCGTTCTCCGGATGTTCTGTTCAGTTACTTGCACTTGCAAAATGTTCAAAATGCAAAATGCAAAATGCAAAAAATTTTCGAAACGTTAGCAAAATGTTTGCTTTTGTTCATAAAAAGTAATTTATCTTGAAAACGGTTGACTTTAGAGCAATGAACCAAGAGAACGCTTATTGTGTAAAATTCATTGGCGCTTTAGAATTTGCTGTCAAAAGTCAATTTTTCCAGTGGCGTAAAATTTAGGGGGGAAAACACTTACGATACCTTAAAATCTCCACCACTGGCACGTCCAATGAATTCGAGAAGGGTGCGAAAAAGTAGCTATTAATAGTGGTAATGTGTGTACAAAAGCTCAGTCCTGTAGTTCAAACGATTTCCAAGATATTGGCGAAAAACTAAAAAATAATTAAAGTTTTGACACCGTGTATCTCGAAAACGAAAGCCCGATGAGAAAAATGGAAGAGAAAAAAAATGTTTCTTTTTTCAAGAGGAATTTACAGTTTTCCGTTGCGATACTTATTTATTAACACCCTGTATACTAGAGCAGTAGCCGAAAAAAACGTGTAGCGTTCCTTAGAAGTAACTCTATATTAAACTAAGGCACTATAGCAGTATCCGCGCTTGTTGGTGCGAACAGATGCATATTATCACAATATAAAGATGCTCGTATACTGTAATATTATGCCGCTGTTTGTCGGTCCTCCTCGGTACCGCATAGAGGTCAGTCATTGTATTTTTCGGGAAAAAAATACTATTAGAAGTTTCTCTGCGGAAACGTGTTATAACCAAAATATCAAAAAATCAAAACGAGACTAGTTGTGAAACTTTATTTAAACAATGGTCAAAGTTATGGAAAAGTGGTTTTTTGACTCGTGTAAAAAAACTGTTATTCATAGCGAAAAAAGGTTTATACAAAAAAGGTATAAACCTGTAAAATGAGACAAGTCCGATTAAATTCCGATAATTTGTTTATGCGCGAGTTTAAAAATGGTCGAAAATGACCGTTTTTTTTTCAATTGCTAATAATTTGTGCAATTTTCATCGCAAACACTTGTAATTCAGGATTTTTGAAGCTCTCTGCACCCTTAATAAGTGGTAAAAATTTCAGCCCGAAAGCTTCATTAGTTTAGCGTTGTCGGAATTTGTTATCTAAGAAGATGCTGTTTTCAATTCATTTTGCCCAAGTTCACAGGCGTTGTAGAGTTTCGATCATTAGTTACTTCTGTACCTAAATAGTTGTACTGACAAATGCATTTACTGAGAATTTGATTTTTCAAATTTAATTTGTTTAAAAATGACTGAAAAAATGTTAACATTTATTAAATTGTTTGTAAATTTCGGGTTGAAGTATTGTTAATTTCGTTAATACAATAGCCGCTCAATCAGTTTTCTGCGCGCAACCAGACGCGCAGCGCGCATGCACCGCCTTGCTCTCCCCACTCGTTCGCTGGACCAAGTAATAGAACGTATCGCCGCTATCTTCTTTTTTGTAATTAAATAGTTGAATTAATCTTCATGACCTTAATATTAATGTAGGACATGAAAATATAGCTCTTAATGTATACTCTCTCTAAATTTCAGCTCTTAATATTAATAATAATAATAATTAACGTCATAGCCATTAAATAAAAAAAAATTATCTCGGCTTCTAATCAACAACGATTTTTTTTTTAATTCGAAGAAAAATAGTACAAACTAAACTACAGAAGTTACTATTTCACTTTATAATAATTACCTATCTTAATAATTTAATAAATATTAACATTTCAGTCATTTTTAAACAAATTAAATTTGAAAAATTAAATTCTCAATAAATGCATGTTAATATAACTATTTAGGTACAAAAGCAACTAATGATCGAAACTCTACAACGCCTGTAAGCTTGGGAGAAATGAATTGAAAACAGCATTTTCTTAGATAACAAATTCCGGCAACGCCAAAGGTGTAGCATTTTGAACTGCTACTTTTCTTATTCATTAATTAATTAGGATTAATGTATGTATATTTACTAACAACGCTACTTTTAAATTAGTATTTCTTCTTGGTATTCTGTCATATTTTTTACTTCTTTCGAATTGCACCTACACGCTCTCCTGTTTTATCGCCATTGAGATTTCCTGGTTGCTGCTATTCATGATATTGTCTTAAGTATTCGATACAATAGGCAACCAACACACCACTTCTAAAAATCGCTGCAATGATATTCGCAAAAAGTGTCCTCTAGCTGAGGTCAGAAAATAACATCTAACTGGGAGAGACGGACGGGTTCTAGTGAAGTAAAAAGCACTGGGTGGATTGTGATTGATTTTGCAGTTTTCCATTTTCTTGGGGTTTGAAAAACCACCTTTTCTAGTGCTGATGCTGTGTGCCGTCTGTACCCAGAGGCCTCTCGATAAAGGTTTTCCGAGACGCTTTTCTGTCAATATCTACATTACGTTCGATGGTGATTTTGATTACGTCAATTTAAATCCTTCCACAGAAGGTGAGTTGAAATTCAAATGCATTTTTCTAGCTCATAGTACTTATGTAGGTAATTGTTCTATTTTAGGGTTTTAGGATAAGTTTGATAAGCTCCGACATTTCGTCTAAGTCCAGCTTTGGAGGACTATTCACTAGTGACTTCCTGTTGCCCATAAGGGCGTCGTCATTACATTTTGTTTGGCCCACGTTCATCATTAGCTACCACAGTGTTCCCACAGCGATCCATATACACTGGTCAACAAAACCTAGGACTGGATAGACAGTATTTTGTTTCAAAGTACCTCGTTGCCACCTAAGAAGCAATATCTTATTCCACTCTCAGACAATCAGATAAGCCTCATATATTTATTAAAAATTTTGTTGTTGTTTATATATAACTATTTTACTACTATTTAAACCTACTAAAGCATATATTGAAAACGTATGTAACGCACGATTATAGTACTATGAATATGCGCTCTTAGCCCATGTTTAAATATTTTTACCAGTTTTGTTTCTGACAGTACAACCTGTCAAAATAGTTATATTAAAAACCATTCAATTTTTTTTATTATTTGTTCTATCACTTAACTTTAAATAATATTTTTTTTATATCTACTAGATTCATTTACAATCCACTTTGCCATTTTGGGTGTTGAAATAAATAGTTTTAAAATTTTATCTACTACAATTTTTTATTTCATTCACTCTACCATTAATTTTTTTAATATCTTTGTTTCACGATTTTGATTTCGTAACTTGGCAAAATCGAGAGTACTCCGCACATTTCAAGGGAAGTTACGTGGCGCCCAGTACAACCTACCTCGATGATACCAAAAAATTATTACAATCCGCGACCCTATTGCTCTCTGACGAAAAGCTGCCGTACGCTAGTGTCGGATCCCCGATGATAATTTTTTTGTCTAAAGGGACCCTGCAAAGTAATTAAGT